TATAAAACATCTGTTTTATTAATCTATTTCGATTCTGTTGTAAACAAATTATTCATTTTCCCAATATGTAGGTTAAATATTATGGAGATTTGTAGAGACTGTAGTATTTTAATAGTTGAATTCATGAGTCGATCTAAGCTAGACCATCATTGGAAACGTGGACAGTTGTTTCGTGTGCGAGATCAAAAATCCTTGATTGAAGTCCTGAGTGAGAGATCGTGGATCCGCGTTACTGAGGAGTCGCATACTAGGAAGAAAAAGCCTTTCAATACTTCCAGGTTTTTAATGGTAATCTTGTTTAGATCAACTCGTGAATTCTACTGGTAAAATATACGTAAATTTTCAAGAGTAGGACTAATAGATACTAATGTAATTGTGAAATGTTGAAGTAATCAGTTACAGAATTCACTGCTGTAAAATGTGTTGGTGATATTCATTTCACTCTTTTGTAAAACGAGAAATCGCTTTATTTCAAAGTTGTTAAGATAAAATATTTATTTTATTTGAGTATTAGGTGATTGAACGGCATAAGTAGGAAACAGTTGATCAAGGTTTCATTCTAGTTTTAAGTTTATAGCAAGGCCTACCTGAATATTTAAAGGAACTAATGATCCCTAAATGGTTCTAAGATTTTTACCGTGGTGTCATAGTCTGAGGTGTTGCTCTTCAGATATTTAGGTACGAAATCACCTCTTTTGAGATTGAGATATAAACACTGATTGTTCACTTTTTTTCGTGAATATAGTGACAAAAAATATATCGTTATCATCACTCACTTCTGTTTGTCTGTATAGTTTAATTCGTATGAAGACTTTTCATTTATTAAAAGAAATCTATTAATATCAGAAGGGTTTTGTGGATATTACAGTAATTTCAATGGTTAAGACCATGAGTCAGATTAAGCTAGACCACCATGGAAAACATGGAAGCACTGGACGTCCGTTTAGTCCTATTGTGAGACTCCTCATCAATGCGCATCCACTCGTGGTTTAGTTGAAGTTAGACATTAACACCGTTGAATATCGGCCGGCTCAGTAGTCTAGTGGTTAAGCGCTCGAGCGCAAGATTGATAGGTCCTGGGTTTGAATCTCACGAGAGGCGAGATCGTGAATGCGCACTGATGAGGAGTCCTACAATAGGACTAAACGGACGTCCAGTGCTTCCAAGTTTTCCATGGTGGTCTAGCTTTATCTGACTCATGATCTTAACCATTGAAATTAAAATAAATGTATTAGTTCTGAAAGGAACTAACCATCTCTTTCGTGTAATCTAAAATGATTCATTAGCAAATACCCATTAACCTGTACATTAAAAAAAAGGAGTTTCCTTAGATTCACATGATTCTACAACTTGAAATGTATAGTCTAAGTCATTTAGATTAGTTTCCATTCAAAACAATAGACTACAAGTGAGTATATACTTAGCTTTATAGTTTTATGTCTTTAATAATTTATTTCATTAAGTGATTAATACTTCTGATACTTTCAACCAAGTTATTTAATCAATATTTTTTCTTATTTATTACTTGAATTGTCAAAGTTCGATCAACCATAGTGACATAATAACATGTAAATTTTTAGATAGAGTCATTTAGAGGTTGTCCTTGTTTTATAGGTGTATAAATTCGGTTGAAAAAGAGTTCTACTGTATTCATGATAAGATGAATGAATCATTGATTATGAAGTGAAGTGACAAATAAATAGGGAGACTTCTAATAATAATAATAATAATATGGGGTATTCATGAAATTTATATATACATCTATTCAGTGCAACTTGGAGATAGAGCACTTTTTTAGTGACCCAATGACAGATCAAATTCGTATGACTTGAACTTAACTATTTTACTATCTACGAAATGATGGAGAAAATTCACAGTTCAGATTGATGTTTTTAGTGGTATTGTACTTTCTTAATCCAATTATTTAGCTAAGGATCTTTTATTATTGTTCTGAACATTATCGTCATCTCAAACATCATGTAAAACCGAAAATTATTATTATTTCAATGTTTAGTAAACTGATACATTCCATTGTTAGCTAAATTTAATCTATTCTATAGCTTTATAGACAATTTGAAATTTTCTCTGATACTTTGATTAACCTTAGAATGAACTTAATATTCTGAATATGATGAAGAATGACAAGCTATTGATAATCTTCTGAACACCGTCATGTTAGACGATATAACATTGAACGTTCAGTATGTTGTTGATTGTCTTCTCAATAGGCCGCATTAGATAGTACTTGATAAGGTAATGATTCAGTTACCGGGTATTTTACTTTCTACCCTACATAAAAACAGTTACGTTTATGAATACAGATTGAATTGCTCAGAGTCATAGGATCAGTAATAAAAAAATTAGTTTTTTTTTACATTTTATCAAAATGGACATTCAAACTAAATAGTTCACTGAATAATATGGTATTATTAAATTCTTCAGGTTTCCGTTTGTTTATAAACTATTAAGGCATTCTTGATTAACATTTTTGAAAGCATAGAAATTTCACCGGCATAAATTACCAAAGAAAGCTTAGTGGTTTATGACAACAAGTCTTGGATTTTGATGCGAAATTGATTCAACCATCTGACTAAATAGCATTTTGACATTACAACCGATGTCATTTTGTGGTGGAAAAAACCAACTCTAATTCCTAATACTAATTTACAACCCTCTTTTTATCATAATAAGTAGATGCAAAACATAATGGTATTTAACTATAAGGTTGAAAGAACACAGATTTTGATTGAAGCATATTCTTTAATCCTCAGAAAAAATTTAAGAACAGATAGACGATAATACTACATTCAGTAGAGACAGAACATACGACTCGACTGTTGCCGGACAAAAGATCCTTCTAAAAGGTTTTGCCTCTCATTAAGTAGGACTAGGCAATAAATCCTTACAAATATAGGGAACTCAAATAATCTATATAGATGAGAAATAGAAAAATTAACTGTACAGTTGTAGCTATCGATTAATTTCACCTTACAACTTGGCCACGTTTTGAATTACCAATATGAGTATATAATTGTAGAACCTTATGAGAATGCTTGAAAAGAATATTCTCAGTCCATACATGTTTAAATATTGTAGTCAACGTGAATTCATGTGGGGAAAATCAATTAATTACTTATCATTACGTAAGCAGTTAACAAAATATGAAAATCATATATGAAATACATCATCCCCATAGTTTCTTTGTGTTATTCTTTACATACTCTATTATTCTTCTTCTAATTTTGTTTTTATTTTGATTGTTCTTCAATTTTATTTTCTGTTCTCTTCATCGGAATCTTCTGCTACCAGTCATTCCATTTCTGATTGGTGCTACATACTACTTTTATCAGTATTATATACTATAATATGATGAAGATTTTTGGTATTAAGATATAAGTTCATTGATTTGATTACTCCTGTTTTTCATCTCATATATTATATACGACAACTAATTACTTTTATTTGTTTTAATCAGTTTCTATGTTTGGTTACAGGGTCAACCAGATATTGCAACAAGTTATCTATTATGAATGAAAGACTATAAACATTCATTTAATCTTTTTTTCCCATTTGATTCATGCTGTTGCAAACTTGATTTGTGATTACCTTTCGAAATGATTAATTTTTTTACCCGACCGTACTTACCTAAGCCAGTGTAAGAGCATAGGACGCCCACTACCACTCTCCATCCAACCCTATCCTGAGCAATCCTTTCCAGCTCTTTCCACTTGTTGTTCATCCTTTTCATATCCGCTTCTATTTCCCGACATAATGTGTTCTTTGGCCTTCCTCTTTTCCGTTTCCCCTCAGGATTCCAATTTAGGGCTTGCCTCGTGATGCAGTTCAGTGATTTGTGTAATGTATGTCCTATCTATTTCCATCGTTTTTCCCCAATTTCATCTTCAGCTGGAAGCTGATTTATTCTCTCCAACAGAAGGCTGTTGCTGGTGGTATCCGGCCAATGGATGTCGAGTATTTCGCGTAGACAATTATTTATAAATACTTGTATCTTCTTGATGATGGTTGTAGTAGTTCTGCAAGTTTCAGCTCCATACAGTGGAACTGTTTTGACGTTCGTATTGAAGATGATGACTTTGGTGTTGGCTGGTAGACAGTTGTTTTGAATTACATATGTTCTTCAATTGTAGGATTGCGACCCTTGCTTTCCAATCCTTGCCTGTACATCTGCATCACATCTTCCTTGTTCATCAGTGTTGCTGACCAGTTACGTGAGAGATTCCACCTGTTCCAAAGTTTCTTCATCAAATGCGATTGAGTTGGTGTTCTCGGTGTTGTATTTGAGGATCTTGCTTTTTTCTTTGTGTGTACCGATGCCTAGTGATGCAGAGGCTGCTATTAAACTAGTTGTCTTCATCTGCATTTATTCGTGTGTATAAGATAGAAGGGGTAGGTCATCTGTGAAGTGAAAATCGTCTAATTAGTTCTGAGTTATTCATTCTATTCTGTGTTTTCCCTCAGTTATTGAGGTCTTCATAATCCAATCAACCACCAGAAGAAAGAGAAAGGGGAACGGATCAGATCTGTACATATATACATATATTTCTTCTCATTCTACAGTTTCTCTACATTTCAAGTGACTTATTATCACACACTGACAGATTATAAATTCATTATCTTAACATAATTGAGTAATCGTATAGAACATAATATTTATGTATATAATTTTCTTTTTATAAAATACATCGTTGACTAAATTCACTTGGTATTGTTTTGCTTGTATTTTCCTATTGAGGTTTTAAAGACTGCAATTGATCAATCTGTTGACTACTTTTAAATATCAATAATTTCAAGAGTAAATTATCATCATAATAACATCATAATGATTTATCAAAGTAATCAATATTAGATCTAAATGTATTTGACGATTGTTTCATACCTAACAACAACAACACTATTATTACAGATAAATGTACTTCATAAACTATTTTAGAATGTTTAAAATTATTAAAAAATAGATGAGAGGAAATTTGTTATCTTACCTGACTTTCCAGAACCATTCATACCAATAATAGATATATTAATTGTATTAACATTTGCAACTGATTTAGCATATAATCTTTGCATTGTATTTTCTAAATCTATATATATCCAAAATGTTCAAATCTGATCAATGACTTGATTACTTTTGTTTATAAAATATAATGTATAGAATGAGAAATACTTAATATATGTTGTTGCTAACTATAAATTAATCCATTTCCTATAACTGACCAATTTAACCATTTACTAAGGTATTCAATATCTTATCTCTATTTAATATATCCATATATATAGATAGATAGATATAGATATGTGTACATAATTATGTCTGAATTTTTACTAGTCGCTTTAAAACTTATCGATTAATTCTAAGTGAAAATTTATCCCATTCACGTGTTTTTTGTGTGACTTTTAACCAATCAACATTGTGGAATAGTTTGTTTCCAATGGATAAATAAAATAGATTTGTGCTTATATGATGTATGTACACATGCATAATAATAATAATAATAATAATAATAATAATAATAATAATAATAATAGTAATAATAATGTAAACGGTTATTATCAATTCTTATATTGTACAAATGTACACTAGTAAAATGCCAAACGAACAATGTATTCGATTTATGAAGTAACATGTAAAAGAAAGAATAGTATTCAATGGAAGAAAAATGAAAGAAACAAACAAGAAACAAAATTTAAAAAAAAATTTTTTTCTTTTTAATATCAAAAATATTGATAGGTATAGAAAAATACAAATAACATTTGTAATCAATTTTCATTCAGGTCCAATAATTAGTAACATTCCTTTTAAGAGAATTGTGTGTGTGTACATTTTTCGGTGTGTGTTCATGTGTGTGTGTGTATGTATCTATATATATGAAAATAAAGATTTTGTGCTATTCAACAACTAAAAACACACCACATGTTTACATATGATATAATCAGTGGAACATATATATATATATATATATATTCCCCATAAACACATATACGTATGGTATACACATAGATACATAAACGGATGTATGTACTTGTAGAAAATTCAGGAATGTTGAATATTTTATATTCATATTAAAGAAGAATTTAAAAAAAGAAGAAACATTGATGATGGCTTGATTTATCAAAAATTTCAAAATTTGGTTAAAATCTAGCTGTATACATTTGTTGTTGTTGTTGTTGTTGTCTTGAGAACAAAGTGTAAATTGTGAAAATAGTTTTTCAGTGATTTATCGGATTTATGTCTATGAGTAGTGTGAGTAGTATGTATTGATTATGTTTATTTTAGATAAATTATTAGCACAAAAAAAAACAAAGTCATCAATTATGTTTACATTTTAAAGTTATGTGATATATTTGTTCATTTCATGAGAAAATACAAATTGTATTTTCATGTTCTATAGATCAACTGTTTATATTATGATGATTATTATGAATGGATCGATATTACACCAATATTGAAAACTTGTTTCGTCCTAGTATAGGACTCCTCAGCAGTGTGCACTTACGATTCCTCATGCGGGACTCGATCTGAACAATCTTCACAACCTTCTACTGATCATATGATTTAATTAAGTTTTTAATAATAATGAAATTTCAATAGTCAAACTGTAATGCATCCAGTGATCTTAATGTTTCATTTCTGATTAGAGTCAAGTAGATTCCAACTACCTAAGTGATACATTTTATCTGAAAAGTAAGATTATTTAGCTTCAGTTTAAATGAACGGAATTATTAAATTCTTCTTTCTAACCTAGGCTAATAATAATTATCAATCAAGTTGAGATTTATTAACATTAAAAAGTAATCAAGTAGGTGAATAGTAATGCTTTTAAAATTAGGGATAAAAATCAATATATTATAACAATGATGAATCACTAAGGAAAAGAATGTATATATCCGTGTTAAAAATGAAGTTTAATTCTCATAAAGTTTTTTGAAGGGATAAAACTAGAAACTCAAATCATACAAAACATTGTAACGAGATAGCCAGTGTATAAATGATTTAAACAATCTCAACACAAATCAATAATCTGATCATTGTCAGTGTAGTTAGCTTTCCAGTTTCAGTTTGGAAAGGACAGGGGGCTTGATGGTTTGTATTAGTCCTGAGAATGGTGGTCTCTCAGTTGATCCAAATTTCTTTTGAATGAGTCGACGGATGGAGCGTCAACCACGTGTTATAACTCAAAAATGATGCTTTCAGCATTCAGTTTAATGTCATTTTGTATCTAAACTTTCTTTCAATTTAAGAAAAAATATAAAACAGTTGAGTTATTTCTCTTACAAATGAACTCAGAAAGCTAAAAATGTTTTAGCGGTTGCTGACGGAACAGTTTTTATTTAAAGAAATAACTGACTTCAAGTTAGATTGAGTACATCTGTTTATCTGAGATAATAACCATAAATTCATTAAATTCACTTGGTGTTGTTTTACTTGAATCTTCCCATTGGTGTTTAGGACTGCAATTGATAAGTCTTTTATTGGTATATGTGCATATTGTGCAAACGGCTATCAGGAATCAGTATCTAAGTAGATAAGGCGATGGCGTTTGAAGCGGACGGTACTGAGTTCGAGTTTTAGAGTGACCATCAACTCTGCGATGCAGGTAAATCCAACTAACGTGTTCCAAGTAGGACGAAACGCACCTCCTGGATTCAACTGCTAGCCACTATCCATCTATGCATATATTTATTATTTATCGGTTTCAAGGCTGATTTAACAAACTTTAAATACGAAACTAAAATTTATTAATAACACATATGTCAAGTGATGAAAAATTGCACACTGACTAAAGTATTAATTGCAATTTAATGACTCGATAATGTCATATCCTTCAAAGAATTTATATCGAGAATGAACACTGACAAGAAATTCCAAGTTCAAATGAAACAACTGTCCAATATTTTCTGATTTTCATAGGTTTGTAGTAGCTTCGTTTCATTTACCCTTGAACATTTAGCTGATATCTTTAAAAAATCTATCCTCGTTATCATTGATTTTCAGGTTTCAGATGGTATGTTGTTACACTGATCTGGTTGTCTTCTCCAGTTCGTGTGATGAAATCTACTTTTCTATAAATCGTCTTTAACTCTTCGTTGGAGGGTAACTAACTAAGGGTCAATCAATCGTGTTTTGGACACTATGTATTAGGATATAATAATGAAAGACAATTTCTTTTTGGAGTCAAATCCATCTTAAGCGATTTATCTAATTTCAGTTTGTGATGAGAATTATGTTGTTAATAGATTGAGTTCAAAGTTCTATTTTTCTGAAATCTATAAAAATAGGAACATATATCAGAAAACGCTTTTGTGGAGAGTTTAGTAATTTAATAGTTAGCTTCATGAGTGAATTAAATATAGACCGCCATGGAAAACCTGAAAGTACTGAACGGCTGTTGGATGCCGGCTCAGTGGTCTAGAGGTTAAGCGTTCGCGCGAGACTGATAGGTCCTGGGTTCAAGTCCCGCTGAGCGATATCGTGTATGCGCACTGCTGAGGAGTCCAGTGCTTCCAAATTTTTCATGGTGGTCTAGCTTCAATTGACTCATGATCCCAACTAGTGAAATTAGTAAAATCTTCACTAAACCCCCTTCTGATAATATTCGTCATCTGCTCACTAATGACTGGCTTCAATAGGTATTTCCTGGAGTTCTAGTGAAAAATCCTGACCAGTGGATTTCACCCAGGTCTATTTTGAGATAGTAACTCACTGTGAAGACAATGGTGGACGGTAGCACAATTACATAAATACGAACATATATATCAAAAACAAAGAAACAATTCAGTTATATAAATGCTTTCATATGTTTTATTATTGTTTATTGGCAATTAGAATAAAAAACAGTTATGTATTTCTAATGTAATAAAATAAATCACTTAGAAATTAATTGGTGATGAATACAACTGTGATATGAACAAATCGGCAACAACAAAAATGTTCTGATTTTACTTTTAAAAATATCAGCTGATCCAATGTAAATATTAATCGAAAAAAACATATTTTACAATCTTTAGTGTATACTTCTCTAAACTTTTGATTTAACAACTAATAATAACAAGAAGTAAATTCTTGTTTTATTCTTATAGAAAGTATAAACAATATACCGCAAAATCATGTAGTGTAACTTATATAAATCACAAGGATTAGTTATAATCAATAGTGATATCTAGAATATTGACAACTAGATTTATTACAAATAGATTTCATCAGTTAAGATCATAAGTCAGTTGAAGCTAAACCACCACAGAAAACTTGGAAGCACTGGACGGCCATCTCGTCCCAGTGTGGGACTCTTCAGCAGTGCGCATCCACGATATCACCCTCCGCGAGATATCGGACCCAGGACCTATCAGTCTCGCGCGCGAGCGCCTAACCACTAGACCGCTGAGCCAGCCGGAACCCAACAGTGTTAATGTTTAACTTCAACTAATCCACGAAATTGAGTGACACATCCACCCTTGTCTTCAGTGAGTTACTATCTCACAGCAGACCTGGTTGAACTCCACTGGTCTCTACTTCTCACTAGAACCCCAGGAAATACCTCTTGAATCCAGTCATTAGTGAGGATATGTTGATTATTATCAGAAGGGTTTTGTGGATATTATAGTAATTTCAATGCTTAAGATCATGAGTCAATTGAAGCTATACCACCATGGAAAATCTGACTAATGATCTTAACCATTGAAATTACTATAATATCCACAAAACCATTTTGATACAAATAGATTTGTTCGAAAAAATGTAGTTCTAAAAATTGATTACAGTAATTTTATGTATTTTAACGAAATACTACTTCATTTGTAGATTGTGTTCCTTACAGATTGATCTCATTTTTGATGCTAATAAGAACTAGGGAGTGTCAGAATGCTGGTTTATCCTAGAATATGGATCCTCAGGTCTAGACAGCCATTAATCCACAGGAATACTGTGATGTTGAGTGTTTAGTTAACAGAATCAATCGGTTGTCACCCGATGATACTAATGGTATATAGTGTTACTGTTATCAAATAATATTGATGTCAACTGTTTCAATGTACGTTAACTATATCAGTCACAACTCTTCACTGGAAATTCA